AGGGAGGGAGTGGAGCTGGGGCTGGGGCAGGGGCAGGGTGCAGGACCAAGCCGCAAGCGCGGGGGGCGAGGGGGACACGGGGAGGGTGGGCAGCTCTCCACCACTGCTCACACCCCTAGGGGAGGCATGGGGGGCATGCTGGCACTGGCGGAAGCTGTCCAGATGCTGGGGCTGCAGCAGAGCCCCTCCAGCAGGGGAAGAGGGTGGAGGATAGCAGACAGCTCTGTGGCTCAGCCCCTTAGTTCTCAGGGGCAGGACAGCAAAGAGATGCTGCAGGGCTGGGGGGAGCAGGGGGCTGCAGGTCAGGAGTGAGGGGCACTGGCAGGGCTGGGTCAGCTGTGGTTTGGGAGTGAGAAGCACCAGGGGGGTCAGGGGACTGTGGGTCAGGAGTGTGGGGCACAGGCAGTGCCAGGGGGCTGCAGGTTAGGAGTGAGAGGCACCAGCATGGTCTGGGGATGGTGGGGGGGCTGTGGCTTGGGAGTGAGGGGCAGAAGCAGGGTACCAGCATATCACTGCCCCCTCACAATCATATTACATCCCCTCCCCAGCAGGGCAGGAGCAGGGCACAGGCATATCACTGCCCCCCACAATCATATTACACCCCCTCTTTTTTTGAAACTGGAAATATGGTAACCCTAACTGGTATACCCACTCACATCCTTCTCCCCGCCTGCCCCCCATGCTCACATCTCCTCCACAAGCTCAAGAGGGTATGCTGTGTATACAAAGGAATTTGCTTGGTATTCCTCCACACTTGGGAAATCCCAGATGGCCATTTAATTTAGCTTTCTAAGGGCTTTGTTACACATTGCACTTCGAGCTGCTCAAATGTTGATCATGTTTGCTAGCTTGTGTTTGAAGCAGTCACACCTTAAAGCTAAAAACCTTCTCTGTCTGTCCCCCACCAGCACAGCTGTGACTTGCCACTACAGGGCTGGTGAGCCCAGATAGGCTTCTATCCCTGCTCTAGGTGTGTGTGTGTTTGGGGTGGGGGGTGTGGAGTATAAGAGATAGGTTGGCAGGGGGTAGGAACATGAAGCTGGAAGGCAGAGAGTTAATGGGATGGGGATGAATAATGAAATGAAAGGTGGGAAGGAAATGGAGTGGAGGAAGGATGGTGAAATGAAGGAAATAAGATGCTGGTAAAAAAAAAATTATAAAAATAAAGAGGAAATAAATTAAGGAAAGTCTCATGTTTTAATAAACTGGGATTTGAGTTTTAGGTGTAGGAGATGCTGGTCATGCTCCCTGGGGTGGGTGGGAGGTGGCAGTGGTGAGAGAAGATATTTTGGGAAGCTGATTTTTGAGAAGCTACTGCTTCTGCTCCAAGAAGGAACTCAAGATCATGGGGAGCTGACCCAGCCCCCTACCTTCTTCCTCCTGCACCCCCGCTAGATCTCACTCCTGGAAAAGTCCATGCACTGCAATCTGACTATCTGCCATATGTTTTGCGGGTTGTTTGCATGGGGTTGCACCCTTGGGGGTGGGAAGGTCATACCCCCTGGGGCAGGGGTGGGAGTTGGCTTGGTGCTAGCACCATCCCTTGGGCAGTAGAGTTCAGAGGGTAGAACAGGAGGGTGAGGGGGGGACACTGCATCCTGGGGCTCTGGAAGACTGCAACTTGGGCAGCTCATCTGTGGGGAGAGGCCACACATTAATGGAACACAAGATGGGTAATGCCAATCAGAGATAAACCTGCCCTGCAGTGGTATAACTTTAAACTGCCTAAAGTGTGCTTAAAACTAGTTTCAGGTGTTAATGTGTGGACAATCCAGGGGTTAAGAGCTCCAGGAGCTGTCTAAAAATTCATGTGTAACAAGGCTCAACTGAAGCACCCACATGGTGCAAAGGAGCTAGCAAGTTTCTGGATCTTGTTCCAGTTTCTGATCACGGGTTGTAACTTAACACATAACACTTACATGCATACCAATTAACGGTATAATTCTGCGTAACGGAATGCTTGTCCAAATGTGTTGTCTTGTCTATCATTTACAAGATGTTGCTTACGAAAGCTTATACCCCTCTGAATTAGTCTACAAGGTGCCACTTTGCCCTGCCTTCTGCCTCATTGCACCAAACATGTTAGCTGTATATCAGTTAAGTGGCTAAACAACTTGGGTTTAGGCACAGGGTTTCTTCAGCTCCAGTTTCTTTTTTAACTTAATTGTACTGTGATTAATTGCATAACAGCTGTATTAACGTTAACTGAACCAGAAACAATGAAAGGGAAACAGCTGTCAAAGGGCTCCTATTAGAAGTCTCAATAGTAACAATAGCCCTTCAGGTTCATAGCTGCTTCCTCACCTCATTTTCAAGGCTTCTAGTAGCAACCTGGAGGCTCTAAACAGAAGCCTTGACAATGAAGAGAGATAGTTTCAGAGCTTCTAATACCAGAGCACTGAGACTGCTGTGCAGGTAAAGAGCATTATTACCAGTCCCATGATCTTAGCAACCATGAAACTCCCCTCCGTTTCAACAGTAAAGCGACCAAAACACTGGCTTGCATCCATAGATGCT